GAAAATGTGATGGTTTTCTCCACACATCCCAGCTTCCAACCTAGAACTGCCTCACACTGCTCTTCTCAGAGCAATATGTTAAGTGCAGTGACAAATGCCACCCATTACTATTCTGTCATTGAACAAGCTCCCAGGTGAACAGTCTATAGAATGAAAGTCACCACCAAGGATAACATTCCTCAATGGCACAGCAAATCAAGCCAGACACAAAAAAAGTAATTTTGAGAACTGAAAAGGAAAGAATCCTATACATCAGTCTTTTTACTGATAAGCAGGGACTACCAGTATGCCAACTCTCAATAAAAGAAGTTGAGATATGAGATGATTTTCATCCTAGTACAAATATCAATTCCAAGACACTTGCTCAATGAAAGCTTAAAAAGATAGTCAACAAATTCTGCTCTCCATGGCTCCAGCAACCTGTGCTTATCACCTATGTATGTTTCTAATCAACAGCAATGTACTGTAATATTCCAAAGTTATTAACAGCCTGCTGCTGCTTTAGGTAGCTGCAAGAAAAAAGTCAAACTAAAGGCAAAACTTCTTGCAACAAGGTGATTTCAAAAAATGAAACAACCAATGTTAAGAAAGTCTGCCACACATTACCAAAGAGTATATAGCCAGAATTTAACCACAATGCAAAAGGTTTTCTGTCCTGTAATAAGCTAAACTATACATTCACATTTCATAACTTGCCGATATATTACGTAAAAATTAAGACTGTGCACCATGCAACACTGTTGCTAATATGTACCTGCATTGCAATGGCAGCTGCAGACTAACCTGCCCAGAGACTTTGCAACATACAGAGAATAACACATCATCACACACACAACTTCTATGAGGAAAATGCACAAGCCTTCTAGTAGGAAGGGAAAAGGACTTGATAGTTAATGTCAGCAGCAGTCTGGAAAGCCTTGCCTTGTCAGTCATTCCTAAAGCAAGGAAGATGACATAGCACTCTCCTTTTCCAGCCTAATGAATCAACTAATAAATCATTTTGCAAAGCTAGCCACAAATCATATTTAAGTCCTTCAAGACTGTCTTATAAACACAAAAAAAAAAATCAAGTAACAGCCCTCACTCCTGATTAGGGGCTGTAGGAAAAAGCAACCCACCAAGAACACCAGAGCATCATAATCTGAACAGTTTTTGAATTACGACATTATAATCTCACTCAATGAAGAGGGAAATGCCTAGAATTACAGGAAAAGCTTCCTTTAACACCTACAACTCTCTTAATCAAAATCAAGCCAACAATCAATCCTTCAGGAACAGATCATTCCAAAACTGACTTAAGGCTGAAGCAGAGGATTTATTCAGGGGAGACCTCCAAGGCAGGGGATCCAAGCAGACAGACCAGGTCACTGAAGGGGGCAGAGCCCCTCCAACCCTTTCCTTGCTGTCACTGTACTCCAAGTGCAGTGTACTAATCAACCCCAAGATGACACCATTCAACTCACCAAATCAAGAGGAAAACTGCCCAGAAAAACTGCAAGTACTTTTTGCTGCTGGTTTAGCAAGCTGAACTAGCTCAACCAGAGGCTGAGCACTGCCAAAGACAAGGAGATAGGAACACACTGCCAAGAGGATCCAGTCCATCATTTACAGCTGTCACTACAGCGGTTGAGTTCATGAAAATTTACCCCTTCTGGTTGATAAGAGATCACTGCACACATCTAACCTTAAAGCCAAAGTAAAGGAGGACTGAAAGGGAAAGTCCATTGACGCCCAGTGCAGTTAAGAACAATTACAGACTTATCTAAGCAAACCAACCACATCTCATTCCATCACAGTTTAACTTCTTACTAAACTACAGGTCCATGTCTTTATTTTTCAGTGGATCCAAATCAAAACACAGGAGTTTTCTGGAAGTCTGCATTCCTTTATAAAGACAAAGAGAGCTGCAACATTTCATTATAAAAAAATAGGGTTTTTTTAATAATGTTTTTAGTTTTTTTATAAAATAGTAAAAACTCAGGTTCCTTCTTAAAGAGGTGAAGAATGAAGTTGGGAGAAAGTACCTTTCTGCTTTGAAAAGTCTCTAGTGACAGCTTCAAATGCTGTCCAAAACTCTTGTCTCTCTACTAAACCCTTAGGATTGGAGTACAAAAAGACAACCTCCACACCACTGTCCTGGATGCCAGACCTAACTTCTCCAAGTGCCTTGGAAGGATCAAGGTTACCTGGAAACATTTTTCTTTATGCAAGTTAAATCTCCTAAGACAACACACACATCAGCAGTTCACTTAAAAAGGTGACTTAAAAACCAGATATAGCAGACACAAAGCATTTAGGATTTAAGGGAAACTAAAAGAAGAAAGATTAGCATTATTGATGTCAAGAAATATCCTTCCAAGTGGTATCTTTGACTCAATATTAGGTCATTTATTCTTAAGTGTCATTCATGGCTTAAGTGTTACTCTTCCTTAATGTGTACTGATCTGCGATGGATTACTGATGCAAGAATTATCTCAGTACCCAACAGACATGGTCACTTAAAATACGGTCCTGGTGGTTCTTTCACTCATTTTAGGAAAAATATAGCATTTTACCATCAAGAAAAGAAGTCTTAAAAACATCTTTAAAAAAAAAAAAGGAAAAAAAAAAAGAAAAAAGAAAAAGACAAAATCACAGTGAGCTGATATATTCACACAGCACAGCTTCATTAAATTCAACTCAATACTCCAGTATGACTTAGCCAGAATGAAAATCATGATCTTAAAGTAATCAGGGAAAATTTTTAAGGGATACATAAATAATTATGAACTAACAGCTAAAACTGAAGTTATCAGCACCTGTATTAAGGAGCACAAATAGGTTGGTCTCAAACCCATCAAATCCCTCTCCCCCATCCTGCTCCCAGGAACAGGAAGGAACACAGAATGTGACAGTCTGCCCAGTTTAAGGCAGAATTACATCCTGTCCATTTAGGTAACAATAGCTCTCTCCCCTTTATGATACCTACAAGATAAAACTTTTGATTCTGAAAAGTTCACATGATCAGTTGACAGGCTGTCAGCCTGTTCCTGTTTCACTTTTGTACACAGACAAAACAGTCACTTCCAACTGAAGTTCCAAAATAAATTCCAAAGCAGCAAGTATTGCAGATTTAAGTCAGACCATCTTCCCATCTCGTTTGAAGCATTTTCCTTAAAGTGAGTCAATCTATTTCAGCTCTTTCTTTAGGTTCACTTTACTAAAGTATTATAAATGCAGTATTATTTTACATAATTCATACTATAAAAGGTCATTGAGACTAATTCTGTCCTAACAATGTGTATGTTTTACTCTATTCACAGAAAAAAGTATTTCACACTGTCACAGGTGTAAATGCCTCAGAGCTCATGAGTTTACAAACTCAAATTTCTCAGTTACTTTCTATCCTACCAGTAGCTTTTAGCATCTAAAAAGATATCCAGATAGCCAGCTCAAGAAGACTTTTGTAATTTGATATAATTCTTCCATTCCTTATTGTCAACGAAGCTCCAGCCTTTAGATTTTTATTTTTCAGAAGTGTGGCAAGAGATGACTAAGAGAACTTGCAAGAGTCACATGTACCATTACTAAACTACATAAAGGCCTGCTCTGTGAGCTAAGGAGACAGAGAGCTAAGGGAGTAGCTAGTCTGCAGCTACTTTGCATGGAAAAAACAAACACAGCAAGAACCAAACACAGCAACAATTTAGGATACAGATTTTCAGAGATACTGCTCCTCAGGATACCTTGTCAAGACAGCAACTGGGTGTAAGTAGGGAATACTGTGTGATACTAAATACTCCTTGGATGCTTAAAGAAGCCATTGTCCAAGTACTATCTGAAACATACCTAGATTATTAAAATTCATTAAAGAGTGAAACTAAATACACACAGGCACACTTTCACACATAATTATACAAGACAGATCTGTTAGGTCACAGTCAACAAACAACCATGTAGACTTTAAACTCCTGCTGGTGCCGACATTTTACAGAAAGTAGGAGTGCTGGGGGCATCACCCTGGGACACAGCAGATTCAGGCATAATCCCCTGCTCATCCACGAGCTTCCTGCACAGCCTCGTGTGAGTCTCCAGCTCCCTGTGCCCTCATCCCATGCCGAATGGTGAGCTAAAAGCAGGAAGATTTCATGGTACTCACATGACGGCAGCTGAGACCCAAGCACGTAAAATAATGAACGCCCACTATTTGAAACAAAACAGAAAGCTGACATTCATCATATCTGTGTTTACATCTATCAGGGGTGACATGTGTTCACCTAGCATGGCAAATTCCGAATTGTTCCCTGAATCCCATAAAATCAAGGGTTTGTTCACAAATATGATGACCCGAGAGATCAAAAGCATGCACTGTCCTGCATCCAATGATGACAAGCAAGGAGTCTCTCTCTCTCAAGTACATCAATCTTTCTTTCCTGCAAAAGCAACTTTCTCTCTGTCAGTTATCTGACATTTAAGACTCATTTCACTGCACCGCTCCCATTCAGAAACAATTCTAAAACCAACCCACACTTGTAAGTCCTAACAAAGGCCTAAAACTGCACTGAACGCTTTAGCCATGCAACCAAAGCTAGGAAGATCCTGGAAGCAGGGATTTGACACCACCATAATCACAACAGGCATTAGTGTGTCCAGCAAATTCTGACCTGAAGCAGCAGGTGACGGAGGCCCAGGGAGGGAAAGCCAACCCTCATTCCCGCACACGGAGGGCCCAAGCGATCGCATCCCTGCACAGGGCCCACACACACAACTCCCGTCGGTGACACCGTAACTGGAGCGGCCCCGAGCACCGACCCGGCGCCGATGCGCTCACACCGCCCTCGCCCCAGGCCTGCTCTCCCCCTCCCCAGCCGCTACCTGGTTAAGCGGGAGATCGGCTGGAGCCGAGGAGCCGCCGGCCCCACGGCCGCGGGGAGCGGGCAGCGAGGGAGGGGCGGCCCGGCCTCG